CTCTCTTTCCCTCTTTCTTCAGTTGCGTTAAAGATCACCAGTCATCGTGATCCATGTCGATCGGTTTTAAATTTCGCTGCGCTGGCCTCCGTTGGCCATGGCGAGGAGCGAATTTCGGAAATCCGTGCCGCGCGGTGCGCACCTGCAGCCCCCGCTCCATACGATCCCCGTCATCATCGCCGTTGCCATCCTTTTTCTCCCCCTCTCCGTCCCGCGCTGCACACACTTACAATTCCTTGATGAGCATTTTAGTCAGCAGAGCACATGGACCAGTAGTGTTCAATCAACAGACTCGCCACCAATGACGATGAGATGGAGCAGCAAGACCCACTGACGACACCGCACCCTCTGCTTCTCGTCGGCTACCGATCTGATTCACGGCTTGCGCTATCGGCTCGCTATCGGCTAGCCGCCGCCGCCGCAGTGTCATACACCCGCAAGGTCTACCGAGCAACGCCGACGTCGCCGACAGGACTCACCAACCGACTGACACACTCCGGGCCAGACCGCTCCGGCCGCTCCACGGTCCGCACCACCAGACCAGCAGCAGCACCGCACACCAGCATGCACCAGCAACCAACCGCACCGCCACGACCGCGCCAATGGAGTCACACACACTTGCGCGCGCTCGCGCCCGCGCACACGTGTACGACAGACTCTCCTCTAGCCTCTAGTCCTCTTCCCATCCCATCCCCGCCACTCTTCGGCCCACCTCGGCCGCCCTCGGTCATCACCGCCATCGCCGATGACCGTCCGATATCTTCTCCCCCGCCTTGCCTCTTCCGTACGAACTTTGCCGCTGACGTCATTGCACGAGAAGTTGGGCGCGCGTGCGCGCATCGCCGGCTATCACATGCGTGTATTGCCTTTCGGAGCAAATTTCGAGAAGGAATTAGGAAATCGAGAAAATGTGATGCTTGTAATTTATAATTCATCACTATGTTGTCATTGCACAAGTATGTGCATATTTACTTTTCCCTCGTTGCCGACGCGAAACAGGTTTTCAAACAATATATTGTAAAGTAGAGACTTGTTCTTTTTCCACCCTAGGACTGCACTTCTTGCGCGGTTTATCTTTTGTCTTTTCCTTTCTCCAATGTGAAAAGAGAAAGAAGAAAGATTAATTATGCAAAGTATTCAGTCTTGGGGTATGGAAAAGAACAGGCTTTAGGAACTTTTTTTTTTTCCATGCGTTCTCGAAGAAATTACGTTGGATGCCCTGATGCTCATTAAGGGCGGATTTTCAGAAATCTTAAGGTTTCCATGTAGAAAAAACATAATGGAAAAAATCATAACAGTATGAGATAATCAATCCAAATGTTGGAGATGTATAATATATAAAAAGTTACGAAGTTCCAATAAGCATTTTAATAAACTTTAAGTATTAATTAATCTTCTTTATCTGGGCAATCCTTTTCTCTTTGCAATTTTTGCCTAATTATGGAATTGTTTTTCACTTATTTAATTATCTTGGTATAATTAATAATAAATATTTTGTTCGTTTTCATTTTCAGTAAATAATATTACAGTTGTTCACAAACCTTTTGGAATCAATTCTGGCTGATTTATACATTTAGATCTAGTGAGGAACTAAGGGCAAGACCAATCATATTCAAGAATTTTACAACAGTTGCAAAGCTGCTTTTTCTGCTGAACGCAACCAATAAAAGATATTTATTAAAAGAGTTGTGCATCCATTCTTTTTTCTTTAGGTCAGAGATCAAATTTTCTCCATAAACTTCAATGGTAAAAGTTTTCACTTTTCACATTTTTTTAACGGAAAAATAAAAAATCGATACAGAATTGATGTTTGGAATACTGGTTTCAAAATTTAAGGAAATCCGTTGCTAAAGGGGAAAGGAACGATGAGAGTTGCGGAATCGGAGCAGTGTAGCGCTAGAATCAAACCCGAACTCGTAACACACGTTATTGACTCGAGACAACACAAACAGTTTACAGTGTAATTTTATTACGGACGAAAGACGAAACAAAAATCTTAAATGCAATCATTTTGATCAAAAAGGTATTCATTAATATTATCCTTATTGTTTCCTTATTTAGTTGCGCTGATGCGGTGTTCATTCCCGTTTTAAATAAAAAAATTACTCAACAGTATCACATATTCAAAGTTGATAAAACGTCTTCAAACGTGATTGAGGAATCTCTTCTGTTATCCATTTCAATCGATGTGTACTTTAACTTTAATCTAATTTATCTCTATTGGTTATTAGGAAATTTTTAAAGCTTCGAAGCGTAGATATATATTTCTATTCTTATCGGTCAATTGCATTACGATGTATTCATTAAAAATTAATTAAAACCTGATAGAATAAACGAAAACCTTGCTAGAGCATTTGATGCGTCCTTCTTTTTCTTCTTCATCTTTTAACACACGGTCAACTCGAGAGAATGTAAATATTATACTTTAAATTTTGAATCCGACGTAAAATCTCCCGCGTCGTTCTCCTAAAATTAAAAATTATATAATCAGAAATTTATTAGATAAATTATTTTTTTTTTGCTGACAATTGCAACCTCACTATTTAGACCAGGCCTGTCCAATTTGAGCTCTGAAGCCAAAACACAAAGTCATCGACGCAAAAAAATTCAATGTGAGTAAGATTTTGGAGACTGTAAAGTGTTGATACGCATTTAAGTGACGCTTATCAACAGTTTACAGTTTCTAAAATCTTACATTGAATTTTTTACGTCAATGGCTTTGCGTTTTGGCTCCGGAGCTCAAATTAGACAGGCTTGATTTAGACATTTCTTCATTTCTTTTTTTTCATTTCTTTATGCTCCTTTATAACTGACTTGTCGAAACTTATATCTTATCATGAATAAATAAAGTTACTGTTATTATTTTGCAACATATGTCGTTCGGTCAATTTCATCAATAGATGATCACTCGAAGTTCTTTCAAAAACACAGGCGATACAATAGAAACCACAGAACGTGATATTTAAGATGATTTCGATCAAATTCTAATTTATTATTATTATAATCAATTTACCATTAGAATTGTTTAGAACACACTTTCTAATTGTAGGTATAACGATAAAAAATTAATCTTTCTGTTTATGTCAACAAAATAGAAATTAAATTAAATTCACAAGTTAATCGCTAATTAAATTAATCGGAATTTGGTCGAGAAAAACTTTAAAATTTTTTCTTGGGATGGAGAGAATGCAGCAGAAATCGGGATAAACATATAATATATGTATATTTATTAAGATCAATCCGATGTTCCAAAGATATATTTTCAATATTAAAATCGGTTCATCTTTTGTAAAATATATTAAAAACAAATTTAACATCAAGTATCGCGAGTTTTAGTTTCCAGCGATGTGTTTACAATTGTGGTTACAATATTCTTTGAACTGTTGACTTCGGTGTTACAGTAGCGATTCGATTTCGACAAATCATGGAACTAAAAGATGTCCTTTTGTCTGAACTTGCAGCAGGTAAGAAACAAAATCGTTAAGGTGCTTAGGTGCCTCTACATAATTCGCAATAAATTGCAAGACAAGTGGTCTGTTTTCTGTTCCTGCACTAGGCTGTTCTCTCTCTTTCTCGCTTTAAACAAATATCAAACGTATATCTTTCTCACTTTAAGTTCCAAAAGTGTACACTAGTTCAGCCACAGAAAACAGACCTATAATTCGCAAACGCAGAATAAAAATTTGCATTTGTTTTTTTTTTAACATCTATCCTGCAAGAAGATTTGGATGATAGCATCGATAGTGCTATAAATCGGATGATGCTGTCTCTCCCGAATATTTCTTTCCCAGATATAAAAACATCGAATGATGCGATTAATTCAAATTCGAGCGAGAATTCTAAGAAAAATATTGAAATGAGCGACAGTGCAATCAAGCAAAACGTAGAGAATATCCATATACTAGGTAATTACGTAAAGCACACCATAAATATATTGAAAGGATAAAATTATAAAATAATTTAGAATCTTTGTTGCAAACGTTGTGAATGTCAAATGATTAACTTTATTATTGAGCAATAAGATTCGAGCATACATTTTTGTATTATAGTAAAAATTTGAATATAAAATTTTTTCAGAAAAATCTAAAGATGATTCGCATAAGAGAAAAAATGTTAAAGATGAAATTGAAATCACCGTAAAGCCTTTCGTTTTATGTGATGAAAACAATAAAATAAAAATTCTAACCGAGTTTGACGAACTCTATGACGAGAACTTATTGAACTATGTCGATGACATATGGAACTTAATTGAGGTACTAGTATAAATAATGCTTTTCGTTTCCGATCTAACGGGTTTGAATCGGCATGGATTGGATTAATGACGTCACATCTTCTACTATTGATTGATGTTATATCCCAAACAGAACAAGTCATAATAACATCAAAATGACATTAAAATGAATCGGAAGTGATTAAAAAATGACTTTTAACGATTATTTTGGAGTCATTTGAACATTATTTTGGTATCATATTTACTTGTTGTTCTACTCTGGAATAGTAAAGCGTTCAACATCATTAATCCAATTAAAATTGATTAAAATCCACTATATGTTTAAAAATGCTGTTTGTTATCTATATATTTGCTAGCCAATGTTAAAGATTGCTCGGAATAATTGTTTAATATTTTCAATTTTATTGATAATTGTTAAATTGTTATTAAAAATCCCAAGCAATCCTATAATTTTCAATAACATCAACGGATAATGTTAAAGCATTTTAGGAGAATTCTGTGTATACTGCTTTTCTTTTTGAAAGTACTTTGTATGTGGTCCAATTGATTTCAGATAAACGAAAGTCCAGATATGATAAAGTATGAACTTCATCAGTTATTAATCAATAGCCACGATAAGACTATAGCAAGTTATCTCATAAAAAATTGTATGTTAAAAAAAATAATGGAGCAAGTGCAAAATAAACCAGAACTTATGGTATGATTTACCTTTATTGCATAATACTTTACAGTAATAATTATTTCTTGAGCAAGTTTTACGTAATTATTTTAACAAAGCCTTTAAAATATACTTTTAGGAAATATGTTTTGATATAATTCTTAAAATAAGCGATATGTTTAAACAAACAATAGACTGGATAGGCAATTCCAACCAGTTTGCTATGTTAATTTTATATCAATTAAAATCTATTAATAATTTAGTATTAAACAACCTTCTGAAAATTTTACAATTAGCAGTGCACAATATCAAAATAAAAAATTTTGAATCACGTTGGTTATTCCACTTTAAGGAATATGGATCTTTTGCATACGATATAAGTGCTATACTCAGGAGGCACTGTCATGGTATACTGATTTATTCAATAATAATAAATTTTAAACAATAAGAATCTTAATGGATCGTACATATGAAAACTCAACAAATAGGAAATAGGGAATAATGGCCATAATAGTCAAAACTGAATCTTTTAATGTTTAAATAATTCTTTAGCTTCGACCGTTATGATCATTATTTCCTATTTATTGAGCAACTAATTTTATTACAAAATTTTAATTTTTGTAATACATTATAAAAGAATCAAATTTGATCAGCGAGTAATTTATTAAGTTTTTGTTGTAGAGAAATTAGTGATAACAGCGATTGAATTGATTAGAGACATGATTAAGACAAAATTACCGAATCAATGCACTCTTCTGGAAGAACTATTTAAAATACCTGAATTAATTCCTGCACTGATGATATCTTCCGCACAAGTATTAGTAGCAAAGAAAAAACTTAATTCTCCAATAAACTTAGAGTTGTACCTCTACAATTGGCTAGCAATAATAGCGAATGTAAAATCACATTTATGTAGCACATTTGGAAGGAATGAGGAAAAAGAAAAATACTTATTTATGAAAATTCTAACTGTTATATTGCATCCATATCAGGAGGAAGGTTTTTCATTTGTAGGACGTGAAATAAAACAAGATCTTCATATGATTTTCAAGTGTCTATGTCTATTGATATATATATGTAATTATTACTTTTACATTCCCCTGTCAATAAATCGCATTATGATGAAAATAACGTTGAATCTTTATACAGGTATAGAATTCATCAGATAATTGATACAGTAACATGTTTCTAATTTTTAACTATATATACATATATACATATATACATTTATTTATATATAATTGCAGTATACTCAAAAAACACGAATTTCGAGGTAGATACAGAAAAATTAATATTGTACCTTTCAAAAGAGATGGAAGATTTCTGGCTATATCTCGTACAATGTTATAATACTGAATGTATCATAGAATTAATGAAACCATTTAAACACACGCATCGTCAGTATTTCATAAATCTAGCCAGTTGTCATCCCAAGACTAAAGATAACTTCAAAATAATTAATGCGTTGAAAAAAATCAGCTAATGATTAGAAAATATAAAAGAATAAAAAGAATAATTAATCAACGTATAAATGCACAAAAATAATAAATAGTTTATTTTTATGTCATACATCAATTGGTAAACGACCACGCTCTTGGTCTTTTTTTTCCTCACAAAACAAAAAAACTCGAATTGTAACATAAATAATCTAATAGGCGCGTAATAGAGAGGGATAATCAGTCTCGTTTTATTTTTTTTTGTTAATATTCCTACATTCCTGTATTCCTACACTATTGTACAGTTTCCTGACTCAATTAAAAATTAAATTTTAACATATTTTATTATTTTTTTGGACTATCATGGTTGAGACTTGGCTAGTACATAATTATCTGACTAATGTTAAATTTTAGCTTTAATTGTAGCTTTAATTGTTTACGTTCAGTCAGTCTTAATTATTATGAGCCCAACATCGATACCACATCACATACACACTTTTGATGACGACTTACGTACTATTAGCTTTGAAAATAAATTCTTTTTGTAACATACATTATGTTTCACGTTTGTACGTTAGATCGGTTAGAGTCTAAACTATCTATAATGCTATAATTTGGATTTTTTTGTTTTGTACCGAAGAAGAAAATTACATTTTGGTTGCGTCTGGAAGGTATATACTTCAACAAGAATCTTGAAATCGCTGTACAAATTATCAAGTTTCAACATTGAAGTAAAATGGATACATGAATCGTCTGATTTAACAGTCGCTGCTTGAATAGCGAAAACTTCCTCTAAAGGCCGGTTGTTCCACCTTTTGGTAAATTTTACCTGTAAGGTAAATCTGGTAATCCGCGTATGTGATTGAGTAATCTTGTTACTTATATACACCCAACAAATAAAATTTACTAAAAGGTGGAACAACCGGCTCTAAATGATACATTGAGCAGACACAATGAAGATACGTATTTATTCCCATATTTCGGAAATATTTTTAGTCGAGCAGTATCGTAATAACAGAAATAGTTAATAATTCCCATTCGGTCGAAATATTTATCAATTAATGATATAGGAATAAACTATTATTTTTGCGCTCTTATATCTGTGTTAGTTCATTATAGCTTTTTATTATCTCAATTTTTTTCATCAAATTCTGTATTTAGTTTATTTTATAGAAAATATAACAATCTGAATATATAACTTGTTACATGATATGTCACTTTTTATCAAAAATTAGTGCAATATATTATATTATACGTGCTCATCTGTCTATATGCGCAAACATATTTTTTTAAAAATATGTTTTCAATTTAATATCTATTATATACATATATGTAACATGTATGCATGTTAAAAAAGAGTGCAATAACATTTTTAAAGTATATTATATATATTTTTTTAAATAATCTTTTTTTTAATTAATACATTAATACGTTAAATTTATTACTATAGTACTGCATTACCATATATTATCGTATTTTTAAAAAGTAATTATTATTGATATTTCATTTTTAAGAAGTTAATAATAATATGTTAAAAATAATAAGACATACCTCTATATTCAAAATTTTATTAACGACATTTAATGATCTTTTTTTCATATTGTTATTATTAATTACTACAAGAATTAAAACATTAAAGTATTTATAATATGTAAGTATAATCGGAAATTGTCTATTTTTCATATAATTATCTGTATACATATAGGCTATGCGTCCCAGCAAACAAGCTGATATTATTTTGATATCAAAATGATATTAAACATCAATTTGACATCAGCTTGTTTGTTGAAAGATCTAAAAAATCTTTTTTTACGAAAATTGTAATCACAATTGATCCAGTAACTACATATACAAAATACATATTAAAAGTGTAACGAGATAAATGTAAACGTATTTATTATATGTATATTTATCGAATAAATCAATTTGGCATGTTTAATTTGTTTATTGTTAATTTTGTTGACAGTGGTCTATTATAATTGCTTCCATTAAAATTCGTCAGATCAATGTGCTGTTTTCATTAGAAAATAAAGACTTTGTGGATTAAAGCAGTTAAATACATTTTCATCGATACACGCATTAGGTGCTTCGATGGAAATTTATAACAAAATAAACTTATATTATTAGTTTTATTTAAAATATCTCACGTAATCTTTTTGATTAAAAGTATCTTTTAAGGATGATAGTTCTGTCAAGGTAATAACTCGCATAAAATAAAATTAAATGGCTCGATAAAAAAAGAAACGTGTATTACGAAACACGCGGTATAACACGCACGACCGATGGGCTTGGCATGCGCACTCCATCGTGGTTGGTTGGCAGGTTCTCAGCAACGTGCAGCGCACGTTGGCAGTTGGCATTTGGCACAAAGGACTTGAGAGTGTCCGGTCGTTTCGGGTTTCTGGAATTTGCCCGCGACTCCACGCCGCCAACGACGATGAACAACGAACTCACGATCGACAAGGTGAGTAAGTCGATCACTCCCATCAATGACGAGGTCTGTTTTTTGGGCGACGTATATTGCGAAATATGTTCTTCGTTTGCAGTTTCCCGCTTTGAGGTCGAAACATGTTTACATCAGGGATAAGGCCACGGTCCTGGAAACGATAAATGCAATTCGGCAAGGTGGCGTAAATAATCTGCAGGTACGGACTCTTATTTCCATTTAATTCTCATAAAGATCAGGCTTTTGATTCAGCGTTTGATTTATCTACAATTATTTGTACAGATAGTCACGGATTTCGACTTAACCCTTACAAAGCAACACATAGACGGCAGACATGTACTCAGTAGCTTTGGTAAGTAAATAGTTTAATTTATTGTCTTAAAAAAGTAGAGAAAGTTGGTCTTTTATCATTAACTATTTATAAACTCGCTATTTATAATTTTCCTTAAATTTGCAAGTTACCTAGAATTAAGATTTAATTGTTTAAATTTCTACAAATAGATGACATATTTATCATGATTAATCAATTTCTGTTAAACTATGAGATAACTTAACGTTGAAATTTAATTTTAGGTATGTTCCGACATTGCAAGCAATTACCGCAACAATATTTGGACAAAGCTAAGGATTTATACAACAAATATAGACCTATAGAGATAGACCCAGAAATGCCTGTGAATAAAAAAGCAGATGCTATGCGCGATTGGATGGTGGCTGCGCAAAATTTACTGAAGGGCATCGAGTTTGATCCTCATGAATTAGAAGAAGTAGCCCAAGCATTCGATAACATATTGCGCGATGGTACAGAAGAGTTTTTTGAAAAGCTATACAATGTAAAAGTACCAATTATTATATTTAGCGCTGGTTTGGGAGATATAGTGGAAGCTGTGTTGAGGTATCACAATGCTCTCTTCGATAATGTAAAAATATTTTCCAACTTTCTCAAGTATAATGGAAGTCAATTGGATGGATTTAAGAATGACATGCCTATACATGTATACAACAAAAATGAGTGTGCATTGGAAAAGAATTATCTGAAGATATTTCAAAAGAGACAGAATGTATTGCTAATGGGTGACACGATCGGTGATGCTAATATGGTAGAAGGAATAGAGGACACTAAGGCTATCTTAAAAATCGGCTTCCTTTACGAGCACGTTAGTATTTCGATTAGTTGACTGTAAAATATTGGTATAGAGACTAATTGCTTTTGTTCTTCAGGTGGAGGCTAGCTTAAATTCATTCATGGAAAACTTCGATATCGTTCTCGTCGACGATCAAACGATGCAAGTGCCGACAGAGATTATACAAAATATCTTGTAATACTGTCTGTACCAATTCTCTCTTTCACCTGCGTGTACATGTACGCGTCTATAAAGATGTAAACATCACGCATACGTGATCGCTTTTTAATTCAAAATAGAGAAAACAATTTCATAAATTAATATGTCTTAAAATTACATTTTTAACATATTTTTAATAACAGTGGATCTATGTGCAACGCATATAAGTTATAAATTACGCTCATCTCATTAATAAAAGATATATTTTAAAGGTGTGCGTTTTAAATAAATTAATTTTAACTTAAAGCTTAAACGTTGAGAAATGTACTATTTATAAAAATTTTATAAATCTACGTATGTGTGAATGTTACAACGTCTCTGATTACAATGTTCATTATGTAATATTTGTTGAAGTTAAAACTCATGAAAATTCATTATGTTGCTCATTTGCTACAACAACGACATAAATAAAATAGTTGTCATTTGTTTGCAGAAAAAGAACAAACTTAAAAATAAGGATATAATACTTTAAAAGAACATACTTTTATTCCTGTATAAACAATGAATGTATTTAAAAAATTGATACCACAAAATTTTAGTGATTCAAAATATTGAAATTAATTTTCTGAAAAATGTTCTTTTTTTTAGTATTAGCAAATGAGCGATGTGTCCTCCAATAATCGACGTCTAAATATGAAATCTTGTATTTTTATGAAGTATATACAATATCTATTGCTAATATTTTAAAATAATTTTATTATAATTATGTGTCAGAAAAAAGAATTCTAAACAATAAGAGCAGTAATATCTTTATAAATCAACTTTAATGTTTAACTAGACTCGGTGTTAAACAATCAGAAGATAATCTAAGATGTTAAAAAAATTAAATGTTTATAAAAACTTCAAATAATTATAAGAAAGAAAGTAATAAGGAATTCATAGCCCCCTTATCCTTTGAAAATAAAATTTGAAGATTTGTTCATACTTTTTTAGAAATTTACTTAATATTTCTATTAATTATATTTTTTATATTTGTTTTCTTTCTTTCATTTCCTTATCAAATTTTTTGCATATATAATTGTTTTATCTTTAAGGAAGACAGGAATTTACAACAAAATATTAGGAATTTGATTGTAAATTTTTGTCCTCGTTAAAGATAATACAATTGTATATACTATACGTATATTTATCTTATTCTAAGTGCAAAAAGCCCTCGGAAGTGCACAAAAATATAAGGCATGAGATCTGTTTTTTTGTTCCCGCATTAGATTCTTGCTTTCGCCAAATATCAAACATACACTTATCTCATTTTAAATTCCAAAAGTGTATATGTACTACAATTTACTATTAATTCAGCTGAGTTCAGCTAAAAAGAACAAGCCTATTAACTAGCCAACCACAGAAAATAGACGTATGTATACATACAGTGATGTACCTGTATAGACCTGTCATTTCGACAGTGTGTATACTTTTATCGTTTTCAATCAAAACTTTAAAATCGTCAAAGATCGACGATCTCTTTGTGCGAAACACTTCGATTCTTTCTTCATAACTGTTTCGTATTGAGGTAATTAGTAAAACTGTGATAATTTGATATTTAAAATCTAAAATAAAATATATATATATATATAATTACTGAACTGTGTATACAATTACTGAATGTTATGTTTTTGCTATACATATACAAACAGTAAGTTTGAAATTATTTGTTTGCTTTTAACAAAGTTGTGTAAAAATGTTGAAGGTACACAGAATTTTTGAAATGATAAATTCACAGGACGTTAGTAAAGAGGAGCTAGAAGTATTAAAAGGCGATGCTGTGGGTAACAATCTCTGCAGTAGCAAATGGATAATTAATACTTTGATGTCTCTACTTAAGGTAATTTCTTACAAAAGTTATCCTGATAATTATAATACATGCCTTACTGCAGAGGAAATAGTGTGAGCAATGCTTAAAGTGGAGCATGTAAACATGCGTAGAAAATACAACCCGAACATGGTATTTATAATAATAGTGATATATTTCAGGTTGATGAAAATGGCTGGACAGAAGAGCTCGAAGATCAGCTTTGTACTCTATGGGATCTAAGTACGGAAGGAGAAGTAGTGTCATATCTTTTGTCACAGGATTTTCTTCAGATAGCGAAATACTTGTTAACAATTTGTGAAGAACCAAGATTCATTGTACGATTCATTTATCTTTATCATAACATTTTTAATTTAATTCTATTTTAACAACAATTTTTTATCGTTTCTTTCTCTCTCTCTGTTTCTCTCTCGCTCTCGCTCTCACTCTCTCATTATCAAAATATATTTGTAGGAAATAATCTTGGGTATTATTGGCAATGTATGCTGTAATGATGAAGCCATCGATACAGTAGGATGTGATCAAGAATTAGTTAAACAAATCCTAAGCCATCTTGAATCCAGTGACTCATTAATATTGATTCAACTTATCAGGATCTTACAATTAATTGCATGGAAAATTCGGCAAAATCCTCAATCAAATTGGATAGCTCATCTTACGGAATGTGAATTTTTTGGAGCTACTATAATTTTTATATTAAAGAGTTCAACTAATGGTATGCTAACGCACCGTATTATGTTGTAGAAAAATCCTAGTTAATATAATCGTAAAATCTCTATTGCAGATAACTTATTAATATCCACAATGAGTTTGCTTGAATTTATATCTCAGATAAATCTGCTAGAAAAACTGTTTAAAATAAACGACTTGATTCCCGCCCTGTTAGAATCATTTACACAGGTATTACCTGAGGGAAAAACAAGTGTCTCCGAATTAACGTTTGTCCAACATTGGCTGGCAGTGCTAATTGCCATAATGGAGTCTGGCTCACTTACATTCGAGGACTATGAGAATGACGAAAGGTTTTTGAAACTGATGGATATCATGTACAGGATATTAAAACCATATAACAAGTCGTACAATTTATATCCAATTCAGCAAGAAGGTGCTAATATAATTTACGATGCTATGCGAGTATTATTAAGTTTTCGTCGTTGCAACATAAACATCCCAACAAGGATAGATTGTATTATCGCGATTATAATTTTTTCCCTTAAAACGGGTAGGTAATTTTATTTTTTTAACATTGTGAACAGTATATCGCATATGCGATTATCTTTTTCATCTAATAATGTATGTATTAGTTTTAGAAGCAGATGAGGAAAAGAAGATGCGAGAATTAGATCCCAACGAGCTGATAAATGATCTTTTAGATTATATTATTAAATACTGGTTGCATATCATTGAATCTTGTACCAGCGAACAGATTGTGGAAATATTAGGTTTATGTGATAATAAGGTTCGTGAGTGTCTAATAAGTCTTACTCAATCTAAAATGATACCTGAGATGCTTGACAACGTGAAAAAAGTTATTACTGCTTTTGAAAAAAGTTAAAAAAGATACTTCTTAGTGTAATATATTAAAAATATAAATTATTGCTTTATTTTTCTTATGTAATATTATGTAATATATTGTATAAAGTTTGTTATGTGTGACATTATGTATATAATATTATGTACAAAATTAGTTACTGAAATCAACGATTTTATTCAAAACATATCATAATTATATTAAGATTTGATTCTAATTCCATTCCAATTTCATCTATTCTAATTACAATTTTATATTTAATATATGTATATTTATGTGTTATATATATATAGTTCAGAAATATAACATTTTTATTCCATAAATTCTATACTAGTTCTTAGGAATTATTAGGATAAAAAATTACGTGCATCATGTAAAATTAATTGATTGTACTTTTATTGTTTTGTATTTACTGAGTTTTTTATAAACTTTATTCATCGAACTATTGTATCTATTTTCTCGAGTTTGGAATCGTGCAAGAAGTTTAGCTAAAAAGAACAGACCTTCTAACTTAGCCCGGATCCTCATACGGGCAACAGCGCTTTGACACAGAGCGCTAATTGGTGAAAAGCCGGTTGTGGGGGTAAAATTTACCCCCATCACCCGTTTTTCGCCAATCAGCGTTTGGTGTCAAAGCGCTGTTGTCCGTATGAGGATCCGGGCTTATTGGATTAGTTCAGAGAATTCATCGAAAATTAACAGACCTACTGTGTCGCTTGCTGAAAAGCACCATCATTCTTTTCACGCATGCGTGATACAAAGGTAGCCAATCTGCTCTGCGCGTGTGCTTGATTTTGAAACGTACAGATTCAAATGTGGCGGAACTACCCGCCGTCGGTTACATCACCGATTATTAATTCGCTCATATTCTGGGGTTTCGTTAAAATTGGGATTCAGTTCATGAGAGATGTAGAGGCAAGTATGGATCCTTTTGTCTAAATTTTGTCTAGATTCAGTATAGCAAAAAAAGAATATTAACGTGCAACAATCCTCATGTTTCTCTCGTGATGATGCCATAATTACGGTAAGATTTCATTTTCTCTGTACCATCATGAGTTGAACTTTTCAATTCAGGGGGGAGGGGGCGCCAGGTGGTCCATGGAAGAAAAAGTGCTGGGGAGAACAGAACCACCTGAGAAACAAATGAACTCGATTTCTCACTGTTTGTTTGCAATTTCCTGCACCTACACCTTCGCGGGAAAATCAATCAATTATCACGCGTGACAATATTCTCCCCCCTTCCCCCCGTCGCGACGAAGGTATATCACCGCGGTGAAGGTAAACGGACGGCCTTGCTTCCCCGGATACCCCTCTCGTCATTGCCCCCATTGCCCCTTGAGACGGTGGAATGGGGTGATGTCGGTCCGGCTTTTCAGTGCCGATTGCGAGCGATTGTGAGATTGGTTTCGTTGTCACGGGTTCTTCGTTATCGAGGCTCGAGATGCCTGAAGGCGTTATTTCGCGACCCCTGTAAAATACAAATTGAGATCCCTCTCCGCATATGTATGTATATGTGCGGGTATACAAGTGTTTCTCTTTCGCAGAATCACAGTGACGATTCGCACAATCTTCAGCAACATCATGTCCGCGGAATTGGAAGAGGTCGAATTGGAAAATGGTGATTTTTCATTGATAAATCGAGCTAATTAAATTTAATGGAGATTATCAAGTTCCTGCTTGAGTGGCTCTGTATTACAACCTGTCTTCGGCGTGTTAAATTCTATCAAAGTTTTTATTTTTAATTATAAATGTATAACACCTGCCTTTTTTGCATAAAATTAAATTTTGTTTAACAATAAGACAATTAATGCTTAAAAAAACAGAAACTACTGTGGTAGGTGTATAGTGGATGGCATGTCTATATTTCTACCCGTGTAGATTAATTCTCTTAAAAGTATATAGTATTTATTTTTATATAAAATATACAGGAAATTAAATAATTCTATGCAGAAAAGTTGTAAAAATTGCAAAGATTTATGTCTACAGTTGAGAATTAATTCATAGGATTGAATTGCTTTTCATTTCTATTAATGTAGATTAACTTAATCTTGGTTCAACTTATTCTTTACTGTTTTTAATTCTTATGTCCATTTCTCTTAATGTTGATTAATTTTAATTTCGGTTTAATTTACTCTTCATACTTTTCTAATTCTTAGAAAAATAAAGTTGAACCGAGATTAAAATTAAACTAGGTACGTTGGTAGAGCATAGTGGCACAAATCAACACAAACATCTTTCTTGACGATTCTATGAGAAACAAAGTTTGAACGATACTTGTGTCGACTTGTGTTACCAAATGGAAAGCATTCATTGTTTTGTAGTTCCTTGTGTCCGAAGTGTCTTTAACTCACTGCGAATTAAATAGGCATCGCGAGTCTGTTTTTCGCCTTTAGAAGAATGGAAAGTGACCAGAAACGATCCGTCGTTTTTCCAGTTTTGCAGCAGATATTCATGGATTGCGATACCTCAATGTCGACCTCGATGCCGGATTTGACGGTTCTGACAGACGACGCGGTGCCGATCTCCAGGATCGTCGAGTACATTCAGGATCAATTACCGAACTGGTCGTGAGTGCCCGTATAAAACGAGACAAACGTTAATTTTCTTATCAGAGACGCATAGACACGCCGCACCGTTCGCCGATATTGACGAACGTGAGACGCGACCGCGATACAGCTCGAAACAAATTGCCGGTATGTGTACGCCAGGCGGTCGATCGATACAAGGACAAACGCGATCGACGACTTGGCGCACGGCTTTAAGCGTAGCACATTTTCGCGAGACGAGATACGGAAAGCCACGTGGAATATAAACCGAGGCGAACCTCGAATATAAACTCGCGATTTTCAGTGTGACCGATGTTCACCTATGTTACACAATATGTAGTCATGTATGTAAATGAATGGCATTCATTTGCACACGTCGATTACATACATTTAAGTGTCTGTGCGATAGCTCGATTTCTGCAAAAAGAATCGTTCTTACAAATACCATAGTGTAACGTGCCAATTTTGATCGATAGAATCGACAATCTGGAGGAATTATGGAAGTGTTTAGCCGCCGTTTCGATGAAGGATTGCGTGAATTTGCAACAATTCAAAGAGGCGACGAAATGCTGGATCACTAAGATTCAACAGGTTCAGTCTGCGGAGCACAGCAATAATAGCAATGTCCAGGAGAAACTCTAGTAAGAGGAAACAGAAACTTTGTTTAATTTAAAAAACACGTCGCATGTGTATAAACGGCATGTAGCGAAATGCACAAGTTCGCGAGACTTTTGAATAATTTGATGCGGTCGCCACTTGATAATTACAAAATATTGCGAAAAGGAAGGAGAGCACTTTTAAAGGAAACACACTGATCCTTTGTCTTTAATTAAAAATATTGCGTCGTAAATTAAGAAATTGCGACGCGAAACTATTGCGTGGATAATGTAACAGCGCGGAATCCAGTGAACCGTAAACTCGATACATGGAACGCGTCGACCGGGAATAAGCAACCGCGCGGTGTTTAGACTTTAGAGGAATTGATTAGTATAGTTAACCGAGTTACCCGCACTCTTCGCGCGAAATGTATTATTAGCGCTGTATCTACATCTGTTATTTTCAGCTGAACTTGTACGATTTTTCTTTCTTTTTCTCTCTATGGAGGAAAAGAAGAAAATATGAACTATGCAAGAAGTTTAGCTAAAAAGAACAGGCCTCGTGTTCTTTTCAGTTGAACTTAAATACGATTTATTTTTCCTCGTTTTCCACATTGGAGGAGAAAAGAGCAAAGAAGAATGTTGCAAGTTCATGTAAAAAAAATAGGGCTTGTATTCTTAAATTTATTGTATATTGCATACGAAAATCTATAATATATATAACGTATATTATTGCATGCTGAAATATGATTCTGTTTTCTGATTTTCGTATGCGAAAAATTTTTCGAAAATAAAGCCTCAGGCTTTCTGTCGCGAACAAATTCGTTCGGATCCGTTTTCGATCGACATAAACTCAGTTTTATCATTATGTAACGCGAACATATAGATTCATACACGTTAACAGTTGCGGCATATATTAACGTGATGGCATTGTTTGTATAGATTGTTTTTGGAAGACATCGTAAAACGTATATATATAGACGGTAATATTTTTCTTGGCCCATTCAGTGCAATGCGACATTATCGCGTATATACTCGATAAGCGGTTGAACCGCTTCGATCATGCAATAGTTTAGCCGACTACGCTACCTTCATTCAGAGGTATTGAAAAAATTATTCGCGGTTCTACGAGCGCATAATACGTGTAAGACATATATATATATATATATATGTGTGTATATATATGTGTATTGTATATACCCACGCATACACGTATATTCAAATGAGCTCGCGGCATCGAGCCAGTTTACTTTCTTTACTTCGATGCGTATAGCGCGAACGACATATACCGCTCGTTAAATTTTACTAGAGCGATCCTACCCGAGAAAATAAGAAACTGCAGCAATGAATGCAAGGCAAATCAATTCAAAATTTGGTCGAATCTGCGAAATTATGCGCTTAATAGAATATTTGGTATATCAATGGAACGAACTCGACATAGACGACTTTCAGGAAATTCATGAATGAAAGATATAGATTTAAACATTCTAAGTTCAGAATGCGTAGTTTAATTATATTCCTTATTTCTATTTAATTCCACGAGTTTTTTTAAGCGGGAAATGCCACGTGCACCATGCCTGCGTGTACAGCCTGTCGCTTATATGCAGCCTACCGACTGCGATCCGATTCACGGTCTTGGAGTCATTTCATCGTTGTTTATCGAAGTTAAACAAGGACGAGTAATACTTACGAACGTTGTGAGCATGAATCGTACCGCAGCCTGTACCATAGTCGCTCGTGATAAAGGCTGATTGCCAACCGCGAAAAAACATGCGTGCCGAAATTTCGTCCGATACAACCGACATAAGCGTGAAGCGAAACGACTGACGAATTGAAAAGAATGCCCAGTGAACACAAGTTACATGTAACGTATCTGTTAGTT